ACTTAAGGTCTTGATGTTTCCGTCTTTAAGGAATTAGAAAAAATAGAATTTCATCAAGTGTTGTCTTTTTATGATTATTATTCTCTTATTTTTGTGTTAACTAAATGGACTTTCTACCTTCTTCCTTTCCATCTCTTGCATCAGGCCTCCAGGGTGATGGTGTTCAGATTCTACCTGCCCAAGAGCGACCCTATTGTTTCTAAATGACCGTATGTGATCTATATCTGTTGCCAGAATGCTTGGAAAGGCCTTTCTGCTTTTCTGAGTAGATCTGAAAATTTGTCAAGGCTGAAAATTAAACTTGAACTAGTTTCTGTAAACAAGAAAGAGCCATTGCTTAGAATCTTATCTGCAGTTCCAGCTCAATAAAAATTACATGTTACTGTATGAGACTCTATCTTGTAGATGTCCCTTATGTGACCCTCATTTCAAAATTGTTAGCTATCAACTTCTAAATGCCACCCAGAATGCGAGTTCCTGTAAACCATAGGTCTAATATTTTTCTATTTACAGCTCTATTCTCCATACCCAAAATAGTACTTGGCAAATAACAGCCACCAGTTAGTACTGGGTAAAGAGATGGATGCATAAGTAGACCAGAAGGTGCATGCTATGCATGGATGAGTAGTTGGATGGATGAGAGAAGCCAGGTGGAGTTGTGACTGGGCCATTGCCTTTATCATCAAAGAGATCTCAGTTCCAGTTTTTGGCTATATCGCTTTCCAGTTATGAGGCTTCTCTGAATTTCAGTTTCCTCCTACTGGTATAGGTTTGGGGGTGGAGGACTAAGTAAGATAATAAAGACCCGGTGCTGGTGGCTCACACCTGAAATCCTAGCTACTCAGCAGTCAGAGATCTGAGGATTGCTGTTCAAAGGCAGCCTGGATAGGAAGGTCCATGAGACTCTTATTTCTAATAAACCACTCAGAAAAAGCCAGAAGTGGTGTCATGGCTCAAGTAGTAGAGCACTAGCCTTGACAAGCATCCAGGCCCTAAGTTTAAGTCATAGGATTGGGGCAGGGGTGGAGGAGGAGGAGGGGGAAAATAATTAATATAAGGTTTTAGTGTGATATTTGGCATATTTTCAGAACTTAGTAAATGTTGACTCTTATGTCTATTGTTTTCAATGAAAGTTTTCAAATGTTGAAAGTTGTAAGATGTAATTGAATTAATTTAATATGACTAGTAGTGATTATATTACTAAATACAAATTAGTTCAATGAATATTTTGGCAAAATTTTACTTAGAGTCAAGTTGACAAAAAAGTATGTCATACCCATCATTTTTATGGAACTAAAGTGAGATATCAAGAGTGAGTAATTTGCAAAATCAGACAGAACAAGCCAGCACCTTCTAAAACATAACTAGAAGACTTACTACATGTGCAAGCTTTATTTATAATATAAGACAGTGATCATCTTATTGTGGTTGCCTCCTACATCATCCAGTCTGTCCTCTATACTCTGCAGAAAATTATTTTACAACATTCAACCTCTGCTTCAAATCCTCACAATGACACCCACTTCCTCATGAAATAGCTCATTCAACTAAGGAAATGTAATCACCATTAGTAAGATCTATCTTAAAGTTATCTTTTTTTTCCAATGATTTTTGCACAGTGATCCAACTTCTTCCATATGGACATATCCACTTTTCCCCCTCTGTGTCAAAAATTAGCCAAGAAAGGCCACTCTAAAGGTCACCATTTATTTTTGTGAATAAACCTTTATTGGAACATAGCCACACCTACTTAAATACATATTGCTTATGGCTGCTTTTATACTTCAATCACATGGTATCCACAACATAGACTCACAACACTGAAAAGTATTTACTATTAGACACTTGAAAGAAATTCTTTAGCTGGGCACTGGTGGTTCACACCTGTAATCCTAGCTATTCAGGAGGCCAAGATCTCTGACCAGAGTTCAAAGCCAGGAAAGTCCATGAGACTCTTATCTCCAATTAACCACAAGAAAACCCGAAGTGGCGCTATGGCTCAAGTGGTAGAGCACTTGCCTTGAGCTGAAGAGCTTAAGGACAGTGCCCAGGCCCAGAGTTCAAGCCCCACAATTGACAAGGAAAGAAAGGAAGGAAAGAAGGGAGGGAGG